AGTCTAACAAAAACATCTTTGTAACGAATAAAAAAAACAATTCATTCACATTTTGCTGATACGTTTAGTTACTTAAGGTTTAAAAGCTTTTTAAATTTTAGGAAGAAATAAAATAGTGCTTTATTATAAATGCACGTTTCCAAAATAAAACCAACAGAAACACCTGGTTTTGTTTGATAACTGTGTGTTTGTGTGCTTTCAGCTCCATTCAGAGTGTCGACACGTCAGACACTACTGGTTCACATCTTGGCCTGACCATCATATCCCACAATGCATAGCTCCATATCTAAGGCTGGTGGAAGAGGTGGAGACGTACAGCAAGTCCCTCGTGCCGCCCTCTAGCTCTCAGGAAGTCTCTGCGCCCGCCTCCAGCCCTGGACCAATCATCATCCACTGCAGGTCAGTTTTAGTGTTCCTTCAAAAAAATTGTGATTTCTCAAAATGGATAAAATTGGTTTTGGTTAGTTCACGTTACCTGACGAAACACAGACAGGGGTCATATCTTACTCAACTAAAGCGTCACTTCTCTCGCTTCATTTTGCTCAAGTTAGCCAAATAAATAAAATCTGCTGTCAGGCTCCAGTGGCTACGACTCAATTCATTTGATTTTTATTTAGTATATAGCACCAAATCACAACAACAGTCCCCTCAAGGTGCTTTACATAGTAAAGTAAAGACTATTTAATGATAGAGTGCAAACCCCAATAATCATATGATCCCCTCCAAGCAAGCACAGTGGGAGGAAAAACTCCCTTTTAACAGGAAGAAACTTCCAGCGGAAACAGGCTCAGGGAGGGGCGGGGCCATCTGCTGTGACTGGTAAGCAATGAGTGGAGGAAGACAAGACAAAGACAGGCTGGGGAAGAGAGACAGAGATTTATAATATTTTATGATTAAATGCAGAGAGGTGTATAAACACATAGTGAGTGAAGAAGAATCACTCAAAGCATCATGGGAAACCCAGCAGGTGTATTGCAGTGGAACTAAGGGAGGATTCAGGGTCACCTGGTCCAGCCCTAACGTTACGCTTCTTAAAAAAGGAAAGTTTTAAGTCTAATCTTTAAAGTAGAGATCGTGTCTGTCTCCTGAATCCAAACTGGGAGCTGGCTCCACAGAAGAGGCCACTGGCCAATTAAATCTCATTATGAAAAAGTCACAATAGAACAGAACAGCTGTTTATGCTGTTTATGCATTAAAATGAAGAAGTTGATCATTGCACCGTGTTTTTATAAACAACGTTGGTCAAAGAGAACTAAGTGCTAACCAGCTACAGTTTCATTTTTCTCCTGCACTGAAATAAACGCAACAAGTCACACCCTGGAAGGGCAAAAGAACTTTCAAAATAAAAGCTTGTGTGCAAAAAATTTTGCTTCAAATAAAATCACAAAACATAACTGATTTACAAAAATAACTTTACGTTTACTTGTGCTTGATGACGAGGCAGCTGTGTGACCATTCAGGAACATGTTTTTAAACTGAAGTATAGACGTCTTTGCACAAGAAGATGCTTTGCAATAATCCAAAAAGAAAATAATACAGTAAAAATATAAAATACATTGTGTACATAAAGGAGAACAGAAGTTAAAACATGCATCAATAAACCACTCTTGAAATACATCCACCGAGAGCAGCGTGATGGTTACGGGTGAACAGACTGCGATGTGTCAAACCAGAGCCGCGGCCGATGTGTCGAAAGCTGCTTCCTGCCTGAGAGCAGGGATGGCTGCCTTGACTGAGCAGCCGACCACAGCAGAGAGGACAGATAAAAGTTTAAAGCGATGGGGCTGCGGTGACCTGACACACGTCTTTGAGCACCAATATGCTGCTGCACACCTGAAGCACACAGAAACCAGAGATTCTGAGCAAAGAGTAAATAAATCTGCTGTGACTGAGTTCAAAGAAAAGTCAGCACAAAGGTCGTGGATCTTACCAGCTTTTCTAGAAACTTTCCTATCATTTCCTCCACATTAGCCGCTTTTTAGCTGAATATCGTAGGACTGTCACAAGACAATCTTTGTAATTGTTCCTGTTCTCAAGTAAGAACTGCATCCAAAGGTGGAGCTCTAAAAACTTTGATTATTATTTGATTGATCAAGATTTTGTTCTTTGTGTTGATGAGACAGATGGATGAGTCGATGAATACAATACTCATCCTAAATCTACACTGCTGTTCTCCTAACATCTCCCCCATCCTCCCCTCTACAGTGCAGGTATCGGGCGAACAGGCTGTTTTATAGCCAGCACTATCGGCTGTCAGCAGCTCAGAGAAACCGGGCAAGCTGATGTCCTGGAGACAGTTTGTCAGCTTCGACTCGACAGGTGGGTGTTTTCCTCTCTCTTTCCTTTGCAGTCCGTCTTTAACATGCAGTTGCATGTTTAAAACCTGTGGTCTGCTCATTTGCAGGGGCGGCATGATCCAGACCTCAGAGCAGTACCAGTTCTTGTACTCCACACTGGCCCAGTACAGCTCCCAGCTGCAGCAGAAACAGGTACACAGCAGCACCCTGCCGAGACTGCTGCCTGTGGCCTTCAGCTCTGAGCCCAGTGGTTTATACAAATGTCTAAAAACAACAAACAGATCATTCA